AACCAGCCCAGCTCGTCCCCGCCTCCCTAACCTGTTCTTCCTGCCACCTATCCCCTCCTCTCACCTCAAGCCGCACCCCCATTTCCTACCTACTAACCTCATCCCGCCCCCTTGACCTGTCTGTCCTCCCTGGACTGACCTATCTCCTCCCTACCTCCCCACCTGCACTCACCTTTACTGGGCTCCATCCCCGCCTCTTTGACCTGTCTGTTTCCTCTCCACCTATCTTCTCCTCTATCCATCTTCTATCCGCCTCCCCCTCTCTCCCTATTTTATTTCAGAACCCCCTTCCCCTCCCCCTTTTCTGATGAAGGGTCTAGGCCCGAAACGTCAGCCTTCCTGCTCCTATGATGCTGCTTCGCCTGCTGTGTTCATCCAGCTCTACACCTTGTTATCTAGGAATTTTCCTGGAACAACTTTCCTTAATTCCTTTCACAAGTCTGGCAGGTTCTATTCGATCAACTCAAAATTTTCATCACAGCCCCCTTATTCCTCCCCAGTCTCAAAACTCAGCTGCCTTCCTCCTTCTTAGCCCTATAACGGCCTCTTCAAAGGATACTGCATGGTTTTAGAGCCACTGTGCTCCAGGTATCTCCTTGATTACATCCTGTCCCATTCAATACATACTCCAAACTCTCAGTCTCTCTTGTGATCAGTCTGCTGGATCAATTAACACCGACTCCCTGCTGATTCCTAGGTCATTTACTGATTTAATTCACATTTATCCAGTGTGTAACATTCATAATTTCACAATAAAATTTTGTGTGACTGTTATGGTGTTTTCTCCCTCTCTCTCTGAACTTTTTCACTCAGTTGACCTTGTTATCCTCTTCCAACGTCTCTCCTCTGTGGTGCTACCACTCTATTGGTAGCCATAATCCTACCACAAGCATCTCTGCTGGTGTTTTTCTTTGTAACTTACTTTCACATTATTACTGTTCTCTGTAAGCTTCAAAAGCCTTTTTTGGGTATTGGGTTTCTACACACAATCTTTGACACTGCTCCCTTTGTACTAGACTGCCACTCTTCGTCACTCATATCGTTTGTTTATTGTTATGTTAGAGTAAGGCTCTCTCACTTTATTCAATACATTAACACTCTATTTACATTTATGTCTGCATAGATAACTGAATGTGGCTCTCGAGTGTATATCTTCCACTTGTTTTATTACAGGCTTCTGTCTGGTCTGTTCTTCTGCCCTACTGATATCAGAGTAACATAATCAGTTACATATCCACATTCCATCATACAACATGCTGCATGCATGATTCAAATCACTGTGAGCTCCAGTAAGAATCTAGCCTTGGTTCCCCTCCTGTAGTTTCTGTCTTAAACTAAAGCATGTCCATTTTGAGAATATATGCATGGAGAAATAGATAAATAAAACAAATCACCAATCTAATGTAACATAAACTTATGGCATAAGTTGGCACAAGTGAGCATGAAGCCGATGGAATGTCACAAAAAACGCAACTGTTATGTTTTAGGGAAGAAAATCTGTCCTTACCCAGTTCCTCTACCAACGTGGTTGACTCTAAACTGCCCTGTGAAATGGCCTAACAAGCTAGTGCTTATGTTAAGCCTATTACAAAAAGACACAACGTGGGCTACTATGGTTCAAGAAGATGGCAGCCACCACCATCACCTTCTCAGGGTAATACAGATGGATCACTATTTCAGAAACTGACTTCCAATTCAAGATTTATTTCTTATCAATTGAATATAGAGGCCACTACGTGCCCTGGTGGGATCTGAACCAGCATCCCAAAGAATAAGCCTGATCCTCTAGCTTGCTAGTCCAGTGCCATAGTCTTCCCATATCTGAGCCAGTTGAGAAGATCCGAGGATAAGTGATCAAAAGTTTGATCGAAGTGGTTTCACTCTGAGGATAATGCATGCTATTTGTCCCAAATTCTCCACCTTGAGGAACATGTCATATGTATGCCTCTTAGTGAGCTTTTTTGCTCAGATACCAGCACATTGAGGATCTTTATTTCTCAATCATGAGTATTTAACACTTTCAACTTCCCATCAACAGGTAAGTAATAGGGTAAGGAAGTGAAGATAGCTTGGGATCCATGACATATCAGCCTAAACATGTGACCCAGCATTTCAACTTCCTGCATCCAGACCTTGTCTCTGTGTGCCTGCCAAACTCCAGGAATAATCTCCAGTGAAACACTTAGATCCCAACAGAGACACGCCAAGCTCATGACAAGACCTTTTACTCATACAGCAACAGACTTTTAAAAACTCCCTTTTCCTGTTTCGAAGGCAGAGAGAGAGAAAGAAAAAAAAACCAGGCAAACTCATCGTGAAGATCTGGCGGAAGAAGATGACAATTTGCAGAAGAATGCAAATAATTAAAGCCATCATCAAAATCAGATCTAATTTTTTTTGTGTTAGAAACATGCATATAAGGAACTCTGTCCTCTTGCCGACTCTGCACATTCCACTAATTCATTGCAGCTTCTAACATTAATAAAATGAGGAACTGTGTCATCGAACCAGTCAGCATAGACAATGATCATTTGGCCCAACATACCTATACATCCTCTTTTATTGAGATGTTGGATTTGTCCCATTCTCTCTATTCTTTCCTCATAGCCCTGCCTTTTAAACCTCTATCAAATATTGATCCAACTTCCAACTTCTTATTGAATCTACTTCCATTTCCCTTTCAGGCCAGTGGAGGACTCTCCTGACCATAACATTTCTCGTCGCCTCATCTGGTTCTTAGAATCATTCAGGACAGCAGTGGCCCTTCAGCCCATCAAGTCTGCATGGGCCAATCTAAATGGGCACTTATCCCACTTTCCTGCACAGCCTTGAATAATATGACATTTCAAGTGCTCACCCAAGTACTTTTTAAAGGTTGTGAGCTTTCTTGCGTCAACTACCCTCCCAGGCATTGCATCCCAGACCCTCATCACACTCTAGGTAAAAGGATTTTCCTCAAATCTCCCGCCTTTCACTTTAAACGTAAGCTCCCTTGTTACTGACCCTTGGACTAAGGAGAACTGCAGCTTTCTATTCATCCTGTGTCCCTCATAATCTGATGCACCTCTATCAGGAGGGCCCCTCAGCCTTTTCTGCAAAACAACCCAGACTTATCCAACCTCTCTTCATAGCTGAAATACTCCATCCCAGGCAACATCCTGGTGAATCTCCTCTGCACCCCTTCCATTGCAATGAAGTCTCCTATTGAATCTTCAAGACTCCCTGACATCTGTGACCAAAAGAACAAAAGTCGCTCCCCACCTAAAGTGGAGCTGACCTGTAGACACCAAGGGGTTAAGAAATGCAAAGGAGGAAATTCTTAATCCAACTAATCTTTAGAAGTTTCCCATTTCCACAAAACTTGAGGGGACAAGCCACAGCAATTGAGTCCAGAATGACCAGCAAGATTAGAACTCACCTGGAGATCTCGGCGGTGGGAAACTTGCCTTTGAGGGAGTCCATTCCTCAGTAAAGGCGCAGGGAAGAGGTCTGGAATAACACAGGCAGCCCAGTCTCAGCCTTCTATTGTAGAATCGCCTGGTTGTAACGGGGGAGGAGGGGACAAACACACACAGGAAAAAAAATGCTTCTCCAAAGACTTTTTTAAAGAGCAAACTCAGCAGGAGAGGCAAGAAACTGCTCGAGTTTGGTTGAGGACGGCCCCGTGTGTGTTTTAAAAATACATTACGAAAGAGAAACAGAAAGGAAATCTTCCTGGAACTTATCGGGGAAAAAACACTTCAGTGCTGGGACGGGAGGATTGAGAGCAGGACTGATTTTCTCTTGAGTGCTCCAACTCTGAGACAATTCCCTTTGCAGTCTGGCAATTTGCCCAAACTTTTTTTTTGTGTTATGTGTGTGGGATTTAAAAAGGATGTCGAGAGCCCTGCCTCTCCACGCCAAGAGTTGACTCACGGTCAATGAATCGACTTCAAACCTTCTCTCGCTTTAGTCTTGTATGTTATAAGCCAATCGGTGCTGTTTTATCCCTTCGAAAGTACCAAGTGCGAGTTCTTTCTTAAACACAGTTTGACACGAAATGTCGAGATGAGGCACATTGCTAACAAAATGTAGTGACTGGAATCACAGATTAAAACGCATAGCCCCTGGTTAGAGAGATACTGACACGTACAAGGTTACATATGGAAGAAATTAAGGACTGTGGTGAGTTTATAAATTCCTAGTCCATCCTGATTTTAACCCTCTGTCAGCAAGGAATGTTGCCCTGTGCCTACTTCTCTCTTACCTATTCAGGAAGTCAAACTTAATTTGACTTTAATTCCAATATTCTTTAAAGGAAACGTCTTTAACGAATAGTTTAATCTGGTTTGCCTGCAGTATTTAAATTACTCTTTGCTTGGGAGTCGGGAGTATGTGCAATTTTTAGGTAAAATGAGATGACATTATTAAATCAAGGTTACATATCCCGTGCAATCCCCATTTTAACAGGCACTGAATTCACAACTAATAAAAACCGAAAGAACTACGGATGCTGTAAATCAGGAACAAAAACAAAGTTGTTGGAAAAGCCCAGCAGGTCTGGCAGCATGTGTGAAGCATCAATCAGAGTTAAAGTTTCGCAGTTTAAAGTTTAAAACGTTAACTCTGATTGTTTCTTCACACATGCTGCCAGGCCCGCTGAATTCACACTTCTGTTCTGTTGTTTCTTTAAATTTGTTAGAGGCTGGAAAAACTTCATGTAAACATGTCACGCTGTAAATTCTGACGCCACAGCACCTCTACTGATAATAGCGGCTAATTGCAGAGGGACAATTAGTTACACATGGTGTGTGGCTGGAGGAACACAGCAGGCCAAGCAGTATCAGAGGAGTAGGAAAGTTGACGTTTCAGGTAAGAAATGTTAACTTTCCTGCTCCTCTGATGCTGCCTGGCCTGCTGTGTTCCTCCAGCTCCACACTGTGTTATCTCTGACTTCAGCATCTGCAGTTCTTACTATCTCTGAATTAGTTATACAGTCAGTTTGATGAAAGCATACTTTAAAAATCTTGGAATGTACGTGACTTTAGCAAGACTAGCATTTATTGCTTATCCTTCATTTCGCATTTATTTAACAAATGCGAAACCTGATGCCAAGTGATAGCCTCCTCATTTGCTAAGTTCAAGGTTATTGATCTTGCTTTTAGGTTGAAGATTGAACATTCCTCCATAATATGCAGCATTGGTTGAGTCTCTCCACAACTGGCAGAAGAGGCCCCAGTGATGGAGGTTGACTGCAAAAGGGCGCTGACCTGTTCTGAACTTGTTTAGCTGAGACCACTCTTGTGATGGTAGTTCACATTTGATAGATGGGGTTTGTCACAAGGAAATTGTTCATGGCTTCCATTGCTTGGCCCGAGGGATGTGTCTTGGTGGATCTGGCTCAGAAAGGTTGCTCCATGTAGGATGGCTAGATGGAACAGGTCATCAGCAATTGGGTAAGTAGGTTCAGCCCAGATCGTTTCAACCAGCTCGGGGGTTTTCATCAGTCAGTGGAAGTGTTGGACAGTGATGTTTGTAATGTTAGGAAGCCAGGAGAAGAGTGTGTGAGTTCCCATTGACAAGTTGGTAATTGATCTACTTCTTAAAACCACTGAAGTCCAAGTGGTACAGCTACTCCCACAGCATTGTTGGAATTCCAGCATTTTGACCTGGCTTTGATGAAGAAGGGACCAATATGTTTTGAAATGAGGATTGTGCATGTGTCAAGTCGCATGGTGCCTCAGTGGTTAGCACTGCTGTCTCACGGAGCCAAGAACCTGGGTTTGATTCTAGTCTTGGTTAACTGTCTGTGTGGAGTTTGCATGTTCTCCCCCATGGCTCTGTGGGTCTCCTCCATGTGCTCTGATTTCCTCCCAGAGTCCAAAGATGTACAGGTTAGGTGGATCGGCCATGCTAAATTGCCCTGTAGTGTGCAGGCTAGGTGGATTAGCCATGGTAAATGTGAGATTACAGGGATGATGTGCATGGGATGCTCTTTGGAGGGTTGGTGTAGACTTGATGGACTGAATGGTCTCCTGCCGCCCTGTAGGGATTCTACAGGGATTTTGTAAGTTGTGATGTTCCTCTGTTTTTGCTGTCCTTGACTTTCTAGGCAATAGTGTATGTAGTATGGAAGTTATTATCAAAGGACCCCTGACGAGTTGCTGCTGTGATACTTGTAAATGATGTGTGCTGTTGCCATTGTGCCCCGAAATGAAAGGGATTAATTGTTAACATAATTTATCAAGACTTTGCTTCCATTAACAAGCAATGGTCTCTAGGAAGAAAAAGATAAAATTGTGCCAGCACCTGATTCACAATTTGGTTCTGAATTTCTCTCTCAGAATCCAGAGAGACCCTGTTCACATCTGCTTATCATCCCCTTAACAGTATGGGTTACAAAGTTTCAAGGGGCTTCCAAGGCATTTCTTAGATGAAGATGAACACCATGGTACAGAGGTGTGAGAAAGCAATGGATCATCTGATCACCTATCACATTGCTGTTTTGTGGGAGCTTGCTGTGTGCAAGTTGACTATCATCTTTCCTATATTGCAACTTCCAAAGTACTTCATTGGGTGTTTAGCATTTTGGGAATGCTGATGTCCTGAAACATGCTTTAGAAGTTATTACAACCATTCTCCAGGGGAAGCCGCCCAATTTTATTACGGATCCAGATGGAATACTGCAAACTGTCAAACTCCCGCTTGAGGGAGGGATGAACTGGCTCCCCTTCCTTATTCACCTAGGTTTGCTGCCACAAGGTTAATTAAAAATAATCCCCTTCTTTGCAGATAATTTTCTCCCAGACCAAGTGGATTTGTCAGTGATAGAGCTGTACAGCGGAGAAACAGACCCTTTGGTCCAACTTGTCCATGCCAACCATATATCCTAAATTAATCTAGTCCCATTCGCCAACATTTGACCCATATCCCTTTACACTCTTCCTATTCAAGTACCCACCCAGTTGCCTTTTAAATGTTGTAATTGTACCAGCCTCTACCACTTCCTCTGGCAACTCATTTTATACATGCATCGCCCTCTGCGTGAAGAGGTTGCCCCTTACGTTCCTTCTAAATCTTTCCCCTCTCATCTTAAACCTATGCTTTCTGGTTTTGGACTCTGCTGCCCAGGCCAAAAGACCTTGGCTATTCATCTTATCCATGATTTTATAAGCTTCTATAAGGTGAATCCTTGTGTTTTAAAATGGAACAAATTTAGTCAGGCTCTCTTGAGTTAATGAGAGAGAGTTTATTCTTAATGAATTATGAGAAGAGATAATAATGTAATGCACATACCATAGATTAAAAAGGAAATATAAAAGTTATAAGATATACAGATCGGTCTCTGGGCCATTTGGGAAGATGAAGCAGTGAAACATTATAGGTTTTACTTTGTGCAGTTCTGGTAGTGTTGACGTTGATAGTTGAGAAGGCAATATTGAGATTCTTGGCTTTGTAGGTTTCCTTTCAACTGGCTTGCTGACTGACTTTTAGCAATCAGTACGTAGAAACATAGAAAATAGGAAGAGAGTAGAAATCCTTTACCTGCAACTCCAGGGTGTCTAGTGGATCGTTCTTTGACTGTGAGCTCTACAGCTCACTCACATTCAAACCAGGTTAATACAAATTAGCACTACTATCCACTAGTGCACACAGACCATGGTTGCTATGATGTGGAGATGTCAGTGTTGGAATGGGTTGGTCAAAGTCAGAAGTCACAAACACCAGGTTATAGTCCAACAGGTTTGTTTGAAATCACAAGCTTTTGGAGCACTGCTGCTTTGTCACTTCACTCCACGAAGGAGCAGTGCTCTGAAAGCTTGTGATTTAAAATAAACCTGTTGGACTATAACCTGGTGTTGTGTGACTTCTGACTTATGCTAGTGTTGAAACTGCCTAACCTTGATCATTCTTGAAAAGGGAAACCCCAAATATGTATCTCTGACGGCTGTCTTTTCTCTCTTCATGTTCACAGTCTGAGATACTCACAGGAAATCATAATTCAGTTTGTAGTGAATTTTTCTCTTCTGAAACTTCCTTTACACCTTCAGGTATGACATCCTAGTGTTCCTCTCCAGACAGCCTCCTGTATCTCCTCTTTTAAGAAAAGAACTCACATTGTCAGGGATAGTAAGAACTGCCGATGCTGGAGTCAGAGATAAGCTGGACGAACACAGCAGGCCAGGCAGCATCAGAGGAGCAGGAAAGCTGACATTTCGGATCAGGACCTTTCTTCAGACCCTTTTCTGAAGAAGGGTCCTGACCTGAAACGTCAGCTTTCCCGCTCCTCTGATGCTGCCTGGCCTGCTGTGTTCCTCTAGCCCCGCACTGTGTTATGACATTGTCAGGGTTTTGGTGAGATCACATCTGAAATACTGTGGGCAGTTTTGTTCTCCACGTTTAGGAAGTGATACGTTTACAATGGAGGTAGTACAGCAAAGGTTCATTAACTTAGCCCCTCGGATTGTCCTAGGATGTGAGGTTGCACACATTGGTCCTATATTGCAAATTAACATATAAATAAGAGCAGAAGTAGACCTGTCAGCCTCTTGAGCTTGCTCAGACATTCAGTAAGAACATGGCTGCCAGTTTGTGTCTTGAAATCCACAACCTATTTACCCCGAATAACCATTGATGCTCTTGTCTAATAAGAATCTCGCTGCCTCTGTCTCTAAAATAACCAGTGACCGCCCCCCTTCCAAATTCTACTGCTTTCTAAGACAGAGAGTTCCAAGATTGCACAAATGCCTAAGAGAAAACAAATTCTCCCTGTCCCGGTTCTAAAAGTGCGACGTCAAATTTTAAAGCAATGTCCCCTAGTTCTGGACTGATCCACAAGAGGAAACATCCTTTCCACATTCACCTTATCAAGACCATTCAGGATCTTACACATTTCAATCAGGTTGTCCCTCACTCTTCTAAACCCAGTGGAAACAACCCCAGCCCATGGAACTTGTCCTCGGAAGACAACCCACCCAGTCCAGGTATCAATCCAGTAAACCTCC